ATTTCCCAAATGTACGATGGGACTTTACATCCTTGCCTCTATGCAAGTCGCAAATTGTCCGACACTGAAACACGCTATAGTGTCGGAGAGAGAGAAGCACTGGGAATTTACTGGTCCATCGCTAAATTCTCCAGGTACCTAATAGGGAGAACGTTTTATGTAATTACAGACCACAAGTCACTTGCTGTTTTGAACACAGGGTCTGTAACAAATGCCCGTATTCTTCGTTGGACTTTGTTTCTTCAGACGTTTAACTATACCATCATCTACCGGAGTGGTAAGGAGAAGTACTTGCTGACTATTTGTCCAGATTTCCTTGTACGTCATGAGACAATCAGTTCCTTTTCACATTGGAATTTTTATACCTCACTACACTACAATGGATGCTTATATATTGGTATCAACATACTTTATCCAGATATGTATATTTCAAGGACATACCTATGAGAAGTGTTTAGTTAGTTAATTTCTCAAGTGTTTTGGACAGATGATTCCATTTATTGGGATTGACAGTAATTATGATATGTGGATTTAGCTTATGAGTTATTAGTGAACCAGTTATGATATTATATTGTATTTCTTGTTGTTATTTCATGTCTTATAACTAAAAGTTATCATCATTTTATTTACATGCATTCTTATTATAACAAAAGTTATCATCATTTCGTTTACATGCATTCTCACTTAACTACATGTGGATTTCACTAGGTATATTCGAATATAAGTTGTCTAGATGACTACAACAGAGTTAAAATTATGCAACTGAAAACATAGATTTTCAGTTTGTGAGAGGGGGGGATAAGCTGTTGTAATCTTATAGTCCAAGAGTTAAAGTTTCTTCTAGTTTCTTCTAGTGGTCATAGCGCAGGTGAAAGGTTCACACAGCGGCCACCGGTCGGGTCTGTTACCTGGGATACCAGCTAATTGAATGCTGGGCGATTAACACAAAGGCTCCTGCAGAACACAAAGGATTCGGCAGTTGAGATATTTCCATTGTCCAAGTCGGACGTGTTTCCGCGGGGTTAGCGGAAACTGTGTTGGCTCTCTGTATGAGGATATTATAGAAACGTTTTCTCTTTGTGAGGTTTTGATTTACCGTTGTTTGCGGGAGACAGTTCAATGTCTATTTACTTATTTTAATGGCAGGAGCCCATTGAGAAAAGCTGCTGTAATCTTTTATATCATCAGAATAGATAATGGAGATTTATTATCGTACATGTTTTATTGAATAATCATCATCATCTTGTGACGTGTAACTTTAATGCCATTAAAGTTTATGTGGCCTGTCACAAGCGTTATTGTTGGCTTGTAAAGGTAGCGACTGTATTACATGATGTCGGTGCCAAGGTGCCAGTTATAGAATGCAGGACTTCACTGTATTCACATGATGCTAGTGTCGGTGCCAAGTGTGCCAGTTCCTCGGCACTAGAACCCTGCAGGTGTCACTTTTACACTGTATCTGCACATCCATCAAGGGCTCAACCCCCGTTGAAATATCCAGCATTCTGTCGGTTCTATTTCGCTATCCATTTCATTACACAGAACCTTCACAACATCCGCATTATAAAAAGGGGCACAACACTGTTTTATTCGTTGACACATCATCGGCGACCGGGTCCTCATTGGGTTGCCGGTAGACGACTTCGTTGTCTGTCTGTCGCGACAGTATTTGGGTCTGACTCCTTTGATCGTGTCAACACTGCAGGAGTCCTTTTCAGGACAATGCTAAGTCATTTTATATGTTACACATAAGCTTGTCATAATTATAACTTAAAGCTAACCAATTCGGGGATACTGGCTGAGCGTGATGATTTTTTTCCAGCGAAGCACCTGCCTACCTACTTACCTTTCATTCGTTGTGTAAAGAGAATCTCGTTGTTCCAATACGGGTCGCAATTTTTCGTTATTTTGAAAACCCACCCCTGCTGTTGCCGGTGCCCTAATGTAAACAAACGGGTATACAGGGTTTATGGGACCTATCCACGGATGATCTTTATCCGCGTGGTAGCACTTTGTAGTATCGGATGTGTAAAACTAACGTTATTCTCCCCGCGGGCTTCCTATATACACGCTGATTAGTAGACATTTAGCCACATTCGGTAGACCTTGAGCCACAGTCCTTGGCACATGGTAACGGGTGTGTTACGTAATGCTGTTGATATCGCGTGTTGTATATTTCAGCACGCCAGCGCTTTTAACACTCTAAAAACATGGACAAGCTGGGTCTAACACAATACCCCCACCCCCCCCCCCCCTCCCAGAGAGTGCTGCAACTTATGTCACAGGCATTCTCTTTCTCTGAATAAAAACGTAAATGTAAGACAACCCAGAAAGCAAACAACTTAGCGGCACACCCGTAACCTGCATTAAAGTAGACCAGCTCAACAAATTTATGAATGAAAAGTGACCTACTTTGTTTGGGGATACTAACTTAAACCTAACCCATCGGATGTTTATCGCTCTGTGTGATGTCCTGGGGGGGGGAGGGGGGGGGTAAAACTGACTTAATTACTCTGACGAGAACTGACTCTTGTTGTTCTTCTAGCATTCCATGATATTGTTTGCGTTCTTCTCACAAACCACGTTTCAGATGGGAGTGAAACACAACGTAAAAGCGGTTCAGATGTAGTTTTATAGAAGAATGATGAAAACACTTTGGACAGATCAAACGAATAGCGAAGAAGTCTTGAAAGAAACTGACTCACGGCGAAAAATTGTTGCCCACATCAGAAAGAGATAATCTATATTGTTTGGTCATGTCATGAGAAGCAGAAAACGGGAGTACATCGCGACGGTGGGAAACGAATGAGAAAAGAAGAGAATGGAAACCAATGGAGAAGATGCCGAGCAGTTTGACATCGCATTGAAGATCACCTGTGTCAGAAGTGACTAAAAGTACAAGAGACAGAACGTTGTGGATAGAAATGACTATCATCGCAACACGACAGGGACTATATAAGAAGAAGTCTATTGTCCATGTCTCACACGAATGTAACAACACAGGTTATAAAATAGAAACGTTTCTTGGCGCATTGTAAAAGGTAGTTTGTCGTTACTTTCAATCTTGGCGGTGACCGTTTTGGTCGGGTGTCTGTAGCTATTATCACCGACAATCAATCAATCAATCAGTCAATCAATCAGGTACTGTCTTTACAATGAACGTAGCCTGCAACGTGCCCTGTCTCTCATCCTCTCTTAGACTCTTGGTGCTCCATCTCTTGGTGTCGTTCACCCCTTCCCCCTCTCTTGTATCACCATCTACCTCTTACTCTCTTTCTTTAGACTTTTCCCTCCAGCATGATTTCTGTTGTTGTTGTTGTTGTTGTTTAAGTGCTATGCTTTCAGTGTGGCCGAAATATTTCAGTTGTTTTTGTTTTACTTCTTTGAACAACTGTAAACAAATGCCCATTACTTTCAGAACCTCCTTATTTTATTGTTTTGGTTTTCCTTAACAACCATGTGTGCATTTCGGGCCCCCTTCCTGGTGGGAAAAGAATAAACCCAATGTGCTCCTCTCCCAAAACAACATGCAATAGATTATGGATGTTTGCTTGGAAGTCTTTCTGCCTGAGAGGCGAGGAACTTAAACCCTGCACACAGATAAGCCAAATCTGTAAAATGGATATGCACGCAAAACTCAAGTTCTGGAACAAGACTATTACAGAAGGTTCAAACAAGTAAAAAGGGCCCTTTTCCACGCCTTTCAGGCGTACTGGGTGTATAGGGCTAGACCGATATTTTATAGACCAACGACACTTGGTGGGTGATGTGGTCAGCATCACGCAAGCCGTTCAAACAAGTACGATATTAATTTACAGCCGGTGAAAGCAAAAAAGAATAAAAGATACCCGTTCTCCTTACAAAACCCTACTACGGTCACCATTAGGTGCTTTGCCGCCTGGCGTGGGCGACCACTCCTCTATATTATCTGCGATCTTCAACAGTGGCGCTGAATACAAATAATGCCCAACAAAACTTTGCCGGAAATGCCTATTGCCAGGACAAAACCCCCCCCCCCCCCCCCAAAAGGTTTGCTTCTGTATATCCACATCTCCAGAGACTCAATTCCATTCTCCCCGATCTGTTTATTTTTGTGTTCATTGTTTATTGTTCATTTAAAGATCACCCTCATAGCCCATTAGACATTGTTGTGTTCATTTTAAAGTCGATGCTGTGTGGAGTTGGTAGTCAATGTCTGTCCACAACCCTCTGTCTCCTGTACTTTCAGTCAGCTCTGACACAGATGATCCTCCATGCCAGGATGTCAGACTGTCCAGCATCTGCTCTCTGTGTCTCTCTGTCTTCTCCTCCCCTCCAACTTTCCTAATGTCACGATGTACTGCAGTTCTCTCCTTCTCATCACATGACCTAACAATGTAGATTGTCTCTTTCTGATGTAGGCAATCGGTTCTCTTCGTGAGTAAGTTTATTTCAAGACGTCTTTATTACTCTTGTTATCTGTCCAGAGTATTCTCATCATTCGTCTATAAAACCGCATGTCCGCAGTTTCCAAGTAAGTTTTTCACTAATTTACTAACTATTCGCTGTGGCTTAGGCGTTGCGAACGCGCTTTGTAATGCCGGGGTGCTGGGTTCGATCCCAGCTGCGGGCCTTGCGCCTTGCGTTGGTTTCGACAGTGGTATAAAGAAGCTGACCGTCCAGAAAGTAGTTGCAAACTACTGGATGTAAACTTGCCTAGAAAAACCACAACAGACTATATAAAAAAAAAAAAAAATATATGCTGAGGTTAGTTCTGCAACGTCCTGTAAAGGATATGCAACTAACTAACCAACTATCCATGTATTACACCGTAATGAACTTAACCTTTACACCGGTTCATCACGGACGTAAACAAAATGGCGATTTCCGTGTCCGGGGATTGAAAGAAATAACGAAAGTCTCGGAACTGATGACCATGCAGTCTCATTGGAACCATTTCATGCAAGGATTAAACAGTTTTACATAGCTGTGCTTGAGTAGTGTTGCCAGGAAGCTTGAAAATGCCGCTGTTTAGACGCAAAACAGGTATAGTGTCGATGTGTCATCCTTGTTAAGGTGAGAGAGCGTTAGAAAGTCAAGTAAGAGGAGGCGTTTCCCTAACTTTGTTTTTCTCCTCCCTTTAACTTTAACTAAAAGCTTTATCCGTTCTTGATGGCTGTATTTAAGCCATTTAAAATTTCCTACTCTTATGCTCTCAGTCCATCATCATTATTATACTGTATTACCAATACCAATAAAAACAAAATTACGAAGTATTTGAACTATTTGTTTTTAATTTTAATCCTTAACCACTTAACCCTTTAAACTTTAGACTAGAAATCACGGAGCCTGTTTGGAGTTTTAGAGCCTAGAAGACGGAGCGAGCCTTTTTTTTTTTTTTTTAGTTTCAGGGCCTAGAAGATTAGGCCTTCAGAAGAGATTCTCTTATTTGAGACACACACACAATTATTAAACAATAAAGTGGTTATCATAAAGAAAACGACTCTCCTTTAAATAATGGTCGCTAGCTGCAAGGCGACGGCTGGTAAGTCGGAGTTCACACCCCTGGCTGCAGTGCAGTTATGGAGTGGGAAAGAGGGAACGAAACAAACTGATATAGGACGATCTGTCTCGTCCTGGGGTTTTTTTTAGGGTTTGGGTAGGGGTAGGGTTAGGGTAAACATGACGGAAACCACGCACTTTATCGCTCACTGCAACATACAGATCCGCAGGTCTCACATCTACGGTCACTAAGTTATCCTGTTCGTTGGAAGAGCGCAGTCGCTGATCGTTTTTTCGCCCTGAAGGTGGTTTCTGGAGAGTCTTGTCGCAAAAGCGCGCGGTTTAATAAAAATCAACGCAGCGCGTTGTCTAGCTCTAGCAGGTATGTCGACCTGACTTTGTTTTTTGGATACGTAATCTTGTCCACTCCGTAAGTGCACTGCAGCCAGGGGTCTTCGTGAACTCCGACTAACATGGCTTCTTGACGTCCAACTAGCGACCGTTATTTAAAGGAGAACCAAGAAAACTTCACATTAGAGATATTCATTTAAGAGATTAAATGAACTAACACAGTCTTTATGAATCACACTGACATCTTAATATTTTTATTCAAATTATAATTACTTAGGACAAACATGACTAAATTGAACATGTTTTGCTGAATTTTACGACGAATGAAGCCTGAATAAGTCTTTTTGGGAAGCAAAGCCTGCCTGTACCCCAAGGTCCAGCGTTCTGGCTTTGGTTTTAAACCACTTTTAAAATGCCTCCTTTACTAGATGTTTATTGCTGTGACCTAAAAGTCCTTTATTCACCATTGTTAGGCACCCCAAACACACAAATTGTAAAATTAGAAGGCAACATTAACGAAAACCACCATTTAACAGCTCATATGCGCAAGAAATGTTGCCGAAGCAATTAATGATTAGCTGAGAATTCTACATAACCATTCAGGAAAAGAGAAAAAGCTTAGGAGGACAAAGGTGGACAGATCGACCCACTCATCTTGTTGGTTATTTTGCTTTTGGCTGATAGATCGCCCTAGTCACCTCAAAAGGGTAAAACCATTAGGTGACCATTAAGTTAATGTCTTTTTTGGTACCATTACATACCATAGGACAGTTACATTAAAATTGTCATTATTGTTACAAATCAACACATGATGCGTCACTCCTTGGTTTAAAAAACATGCAGTCTTACATATTTCAAAAACATTTTCAGGGTATACTTTTTTTGTTATGTTTTGGGTAAACTACTTATGTCCAATGTTTATTTGTTAGAGTCAATCAGATGACATTAAAAGTTGTCAACAAAACAGAATGACTAATAATTGTCATGAACATGTGGGAATATCAGAGCTTATTTAGCATCTTCCCTTTCTGTAGGTTTCAAACCTGATACATTATTGCATAAGCTAAATTAGGCTTTTCTGTGTAGCATTTTACAAAATGAAGAATATTCTTTGCAATCTTTCTTTGTTAGTTGAGGCGAGAAAGGGAATTTTTAGAAGCTATATAAATCCTGAAATGATATATAGAAGTGAGTCATGGACAATTGTTAGATTAATGAAAAATTAATAGAAGACGAAAAGTGTCATTTAAGCAGAATTTTCAGCAGGGGAACCGTAAGTGTAAGTTTTTGCTGCTTTTCCAAACTAGCGACCGTTATTGCAAGGAGAGCCAGTTTCACATTGGTTAGATACATTTAGGAGATTAAATAGCACGAGGAGCTTTGTTGAGTAGGAAGCAGCAGTCTTAATATGTTTATTCAAATATAGATAAGGACAAACATGACTAAAACTCTGCTGACAGATCCGACGAATGAAGTAATAAAGTCCTCTTGGGAAGAAAAGGCCCATGGCTCTCTAGAGACCTCTGGCTTGGTTCACCATCAGACTGTCTACATTCTTGTTTAATGTGTTAAAAGTCCTGGATTACCATCATGACAATAGGAAAGCTTGTAAAATTAGGAGGCAGAGACAGACCAGAAACAGATATTTGCGCACAGTTGTGAGAAAGCAATCAGGGCTTGAAGAAGTCATCTGATTAGATGGTATGAAGACAGTAGACAATGTCAAAGTTTATTGACCAGGTAACACAGATCGACACGAAGTTCTGGATGGAAGTTTGCTTTTGGCTGATAGACTGCCCTGGTCATTCAGAAGGGAAAATTTTCTATAAACATGACACAGATGCTTAAAAGTTTATATTAAAAGTTAAATAAACATTTAGGCTTTTTGAACTCTTTGCACTCCAAACAATTCACCATGTCACCACCATTTTTAATTCATATACAGCTGCACAGAGGGACTGAATTTTAAATATTAAGAGCAGCATAATATAACTTGCAGTAATTTAAAAAAATGTTAATAATAAAACCTAGTGTTAATAGTCTAAATGAATAACAGTGCTAAAGTTTAGCTGAAGGAAGAGGCAGAAGCGTTGAGTGAGAGGTTCCACTTTTACTGAAGATGGGTCACTCCGTAATGGGTCTCCCCCGTAACAGCTTTGTTCCTTTGCCAGTGGAAATCACACAAACTGTCTGTGACTGTCCTATTTGAAAACTGGTGAAACAATTTATAATTCTCAACAAAGTTTTGAAGAACCTGCTGCGACGTTGCTCTCTCAGTGTGCTCTGGCTGTTTCCTAGGGGATTATACTATGGCTGACACATATGACGAAGTGACGCACACAGATGTTCTTGTGGAGACACAGTCGCAGTTTATGTCTTTATTACTCACATACGACAATCTGGTCCACCACTGGTCAGCTACTCTCTAGCATGTCCCAATATTTAACAGGAAACAATGATGAAATTCCTCACCGCTGTTTACAATAATTCATGTTCGCTACCTTTGCGATCTTCACGTCTCAATCGCGCCCACATGTTCAGGTGTCAAACGAGCATCTCCAGCTGCTGGCTGTTCAGCTCCACTTTCAGGCTAGTTGGCAACTTGACTGGGTTCTGGCTAGGCGGTCATCTTTTTGAATTCAATCTCCTCCACGTTGTTCAGTTATACAATGTCCCATTCATGCTCCCACAAAACACAACCTCTCACTCTAGCTGCAAATCACACACTATTTTGTTGTCCTGGGTAAAAATACATTCCCAATCTGCAGTCTGTGGCGGCAGGACTAGAATTGTGACCCTCAAACTTCAGACTCAGAGACCCTAGTGCCTAGGCAACGAAAGTGGTAAATAAGTCGGTAATGGTTTTTTTTTTTTTAAATAAAGAAGTTGGTTAGACATTTTTAAAAGATCGTAGTATGTTCTGTATACAAATGTTTGAAAATTTTGTTATGCAGTTTTTTTTTTAGTTGTGTGTATTAACTATTGTTTAACTTGATCGCAGCGGAGAAGCAAGCCAAGCCACCGACAAGTGTACCAGTATTGCCCGGTTCAGATGTACATAGATCAGCTTCGAGTCGGTCAAACAGAAGCCTTCCTCATTCTCCAAGCACACCCGACTCATGGGGAGAGGGCAGCAGTTTAGGTATGGTCACTGTGTTGACAGTTTAATGTTTAGCCTTTCATTGCCATTCTCATCTTCCTCCTTCTGCTGATCTCCACTGCTGCTTCCTACTCAACAAACCCTCCTCGTTCTATTCTCTTTGTGTCGTAACCTTGTTTAACTCTTTCGCCCAGAAAAGCCGCAAAAACAACATTTACGGTTGGGTCAAATTCTGCTTAAATGACACTCTTTCGACTTGTCTACAGGCCCTGTTTACGAGATGCATGGTTAATGCTATTGAGCCAGATAGATTTTTTGAAGCAAAATTGATGTCACATTTTCCTGTAAGCCTCAATGATTGAGATCAAGAAGCAAAAGTTATGCAGTACATGTTTTTGTTAGGCCACCAAGAATGTATTCTGTCTGCTTTACCTTTTTGTATTTATTGATTACTTCCTGCATATATCTTTATATTTTTTTGGAGAAAAAAAATAATGTAGATAAATACATTTAAAACAAATTATTAGTAACCTTTGGAGGTCATGGCTCATTTTTAGTGTCCCCAAGGAGAGAGGGTCAGATAGTGATTATTATTTCCTGTTGTGTTTGTTTTTAAATTGTTCATCAAAAGGCTGCTCACTTTTTATTCACTGCATTATAATTTGATTTAGGCATTCCCTGCGGTACTGTGAACGGTAACGTCCCAGGTGAAAAGAGACCAAGGACATTGATGCTGACAGAGTCTGTTTTACAAGATGGACAAGGTTTGGATTTTTTTAACTGACAGTTGGATGCTATTTATCCACAGGCCATTCAAGCTCATATCAGACGTATACTGTGTTGAAATAATATCAGACATGAACTAAATCATATATATATATAAATATAAACCATTTCTAATGTGTGACATGAACCAGTTCTGCTCTGTGACATGAACAATTTCTAATCTATGGCATGATCCGTTTATAATCTGTGAAATTAACCATTTCTAATCTATGACATGATGCATTTCTAATCTATGACATGATCCATTTCTAATCTATGGCATGATCCATTTCTAATCTACGACATGAACCATTTCTAATCCATGACATGAATTATTTCTAATCTACAACGTTAACGGTTTCTAATCTATGATATGACATTAACCATTTCTAATCCATGACGTGAACCAGTTCTGAGCCATGTCATGAACTATTTCTGAGCCATTTCAAGTATAAACCATTTCTAATCTATGACAGGAACTATTTCTGATTTATGACATGAAGAATTTCTTATTAGTGACTATGGCAGGAACCATTTCTAATCTATGGCATGGTTCATTTCTAATCTATGGCATGATCCATTTCTAATCCGTGAAATGAACCATTTCTATCTATGACATGATCCATTTCTAATCTATGACATGAACCATTTCTGATCTATGACATGATCCATTTCTTATCTATGACATGATCCATTTCTGATCGATGACATGATCCATTTCTAATCTATGACATAATCCATTTCTAATCTATAGCATGAACCATTTCTAATCTTCTGCATGATCTATTTCTAATCCATGACTTGAATCATTTCTAATCTACAACATAAAACGATTTATAATCTATGATATGACATTAACTGTTTCTAATCCATGACATGAACTAGTTCTGATCCATGTCATTAATTATTTCTGAGCCATTTCAAGAATAAACCATTTCTAATCTATAAACTGAACAATTTCTGAGCCATTTCAAGTATAAACCATTAAAAATCTATGAAAGGAACAATTTCTGAGCCATTTCAGGTATAAACCATTTCCAATCTATGAACTCAACAATTCTGAGCCATTTCAATTATAAACCATTTCTAATCTATGAACTTAACAATTTCTGAGCCATTTCAAGTATAAACCATTTCTAATCTATGAACTGAACAATTTCTGAGCTATTTCAAGTATAAACCATTTCTAATCTATGACATGAACAATTTCTGAGCTATTTCAAGTATAACCCATCTCTAATCTATGACATGAATAATTTCTGAGCCATTTCAAGTATAAACCATTTCTAATCTATGACATGAACAATTTCTGAGCTATTGCAAGTATAAAGCATCTCTAATCTAGGACAAGAATTATTTCTGAGCTATTTCGAGTATAAACCATTTCTAATCTACGACATGAACAATTTCTGAGCTATTTTGAGTATAAACCATTTCTAATCTATGTCATGACCCAGTGAGAATTAAATGAGCAGAGAAAAAAAAGACTTCACTCCCTTGGGCCTAAAAAACAAATTCCTACTGTGACTCATACAATGACACTGATTACTTTTTGTCCATAATAGTTCCCCCCATTCCCTCACACTGCGCAAGCACAAAGAAAACCAGTCCTGTTAACTAGGCAGTGCTGATTTAGTGGCTTGTCAGAGATTTGTAATGGATGATGATGCTGGCTTCATAACTTTACAGTGCCAAATGGTTAGAAGAAATTAAATCACACAGTGTTGCTTGCATCAGAAAAGGTTAGTAGGAACTGTTTAGGGCATACCCTGAGAAGTGGGTAAAATGGATTATCACATGACAGAAGGAAGTTGCAGAGGAAGTAAAGCAGGAGACCAAGGCAGAAGGTGTTTAACCTTTTTGGAAGAGAACTCCTAAAAACATCTGATGTACTCTGTTTCTATGTAGAATCTTATATCTCATTTTTCCCTTATGGTTCCAGGACCACATTAGGGGGGGGGGGGGGGGGCACTGCTCCCCTTACCCCCCCCCCCACTCCCACCCCTATGAAACATGTCATAAAAGTAGGCTAATTAGGGGAATTTCCTTCAAAGCTAAAGTGCCTCTGCCTGAGAAGCAAGGAACAAACAGTCTGCAAACTAAAATGCTCGATATGTAAAATGGATTTGCGTGCAAAACTCAGGTTCGGGAGAAAAGACTGATCTCCAGAAATAGATGAACAACCAGTACTTTCTGCCAGAGTTTACAGCTGGTGAATGCAAAGTCATCAAAGGATGAGGTGCCTAAGAACAGCCACCAACTGAACCATCCAAGACAAAGTTAAAAATATTATCAGACAGACTGTAGGTACAACACCATGCAGAAAATTCATTGAGAAACAGAAGATCGAATGGTTTGGTCATTTAGGAAAAATGCAGCCAGAACAGCTATCAACGCAGGTGCTACACATGAACAGATCTGAAGTGAAAGCAAGAGACCGCCGTAGGAGAAAATGAATTGATGACATTAAAGAGCATCTGCATCGACATGGAATGACAACAGCCATCGCTGCCTATCAAGCAAATAATTGCAAACTATTCCAGCTTATGTTTCTATATTTTATGCATACCTTATATTATATCTTTCAGATATCCTCGCAGATTCTTTAGAATCACCTTTACGCACTTCCTCCAGACTGTCAAAAACTCTCCTGGAGGTTATCCGGGACAAAGATGCCCTGGCGTGCTTCAAGTCTTTCCTCAGCGGGCAGAAAGCAGATCATCTGATTCAGTTTTGGTGTGATGCGGAATCTTTCCACGCTTCAACTCTCACCCGCATGCGGACTCACACTTTACAGAGCTTGTCTAAGAGTTCACTGCACAAACGTAGGAGTAACAGTTTCCGACAAGCTGCTGATATACCTTGTGAAGCAGCAGGAATAGTATCTTCATCAAAAGCAGACGCCAATGCTTGTGACAGCAGAGTCTTGACTCGGACAGATCCTCAGAACAGCCTTGGAAGCGTTAAATATCAAGAGAGGAGGCATTTTTCAGAAAGTAGTGCTTGTGAAGAAGGATATTCTAAAAGGCTGACAGTGCCTGATGGTCAGTCATCATCACAAAATTTCCTATCTCAAAAGCTAGATAATCTTTCATCGAAACCATCTTCTGACTCAGCCCAAAGACGGACTGATGATAAAGCATCAGGTGTATTTGTATATGATCACACACATAAACCTCCAGACCCAGAATCTTCTGCATTTGACATCTCCAAGTCCAGCACAGAACGAAGACCTGTCATTGAAATGCTAGATGTTCGTTGTGGCAGCCCCTCATCCTCCACACTGCCTGTCGGTCCAAGTGAGCTCAATTTAACTGCCACAAATTCCCAGCACATGAAGCCTGCAGCCTTATCTCAACAGCCTTCAGATGCTGAGGAGCCGGGCGTGTTAAAGAGTCCTTCGGAGCTTAGCCAGGAGGATATTGCTCAGAGGTTGAAAAAAAGTAAGCTTTTTCTCTTTGGCTATCTTTCTTTGCTTCTTGTTGTTTAAAAAAAAAACAGAGAGCCTTCCTTTCAGTCCAGAGATGAACAGAATCAGACCACTGATAACTATCATCTGTTTGACCTGCATGGACATGTCATCATTCTCCGTCCCAGGACAGGATATCGCTTGGGTGGTGCGTCCCATTTTCATCGGGTCAGTCTCCTGTTTAGGTGAACCCTGGCAGTCCCGTCGGTAATCCCAGAAAAAGCACCAGTAGTCCATTTTATAAAAAATCTTTGAAGCTCAAAATTTAGGCGAGTTAATTCTAGAACCGACATCACTGCACTTGGGTCATTCCCATAAATGCCTTGTCCCGATCTTCAGCAGCCAGCGCAGAGTTCTAGTACCAGCGGTTCCAGTATTTAACAATACTTTTGTCTAGAGAGTACCACAAAACAGATAACGGAACATACACTTAGAGTTACATCTGTAGACCTGATTAGATTTAATAGTTTTAGATACTTTAATAATGCCTGAAATGTGTTGATGAGAATTTTTATTGGGGCATGTTTTTTTAATTGCATTTAAAGATCATACTGTTTCATTTATTCTTGGCAGCAATAGTTCAAGTTTTAATACCATTGACAATGACGTAAGAAGGAGAAGTGAGGCAGTCCAAGGTATGTCAGCCATCGAAAGAAGATGCCGCCAAGCAGAGATCAAGGAACTGAAGAAGCAGCTAAGCAAACTTACAGCTCACCCAAAAAGTAAGCACGGCAAACAAGAACACATAAACTGAGCCCAGGGAGATGCAGCACAAGTCGCAAAACACACAGAGACAGTGAAAGAGGCAGAAAAAGGCACCGGGACTCAGAAGAAAAAGCAGTAGCACAAATCTCAGGCTACAGAGATGGTAAAAGCAGTAGAAAAAGCCACCTCCACTGATGATATAGATAAGAAGATTGCTGAACTTTAAAAAGAGCTGCAGGCCTTGATCTAGAGAGACACAGAAAAGCTTGAGAGAATTTGCAGAGAGTGCAACGCTATGATGAAGAAAATTGACGACTAGCAACAAGCCCTAGGCAAAAAATGGGAGAAAATCCAGAAAGCAATTGATGACTTAGAGTTAGAGGTAGACGATATCGACAAGGAGAGAAGTCCAAGCAGATCAAGGATGCCTACCTCATGCTACAGCAGCCCCGAGAAAGGCAGCACAGCCAGACCCAAAACACCGCCTGCCAACCAGCACATGGGAAACAAGCCAGAGGACAAGACGCTATAGAAGATGGTGGCGAAGCCCTCAGCAGGACTAAGCCCTTATCAGGGAGGCATCAAAGAAAGCAGACGAAAGAAAAGCAGACACCAGAGAACCTAGCCTGACATCGGTAGAAGAAAACACAAGTTGGAAGATGAGCCAAACCAAGCACAACTTTCAGACAGACACAGCATCAAACACCCTAATTATAACCTTTCAAATACAGGTTGAACAGGATCAACTCAAAGAAGAAAAAATAGGTATCACTCAAGCAGAGGTGATATTTAAAAAACTTATTGCTACTTCATAACTTCAGTGAATATGTGTTTTTAGATGGTCTTATGCGACCCCTGTGAAAGGGTCATTTGACCCCCCAAAAAGATTGCGACCTGCAGGTTGAGAACTGCTGCATTAAAGAATAATAGAAATAACAAATTTTAGGGAGCTCCTGAAGCCATTAAAACAGCAAGATAAATTTATTCATGAGTATTGATTGGCAGTTGTAGAAAATTTAAATAATTTGTATACTTTGTTTCTGTTGTATATTGTGGTGGTTCTTCCAGTCATTCTTATTTCTTATCCTTTTCTACCACTATCTCCTCCTTGATCAACTCCTCTTCCATCTCCTTCTCCTTCTTCTACTTTAAGTTTTTTTCTTTTTTTTCTCCTCCTCTTTATCTTTTAGTTCCAATTCCAATGGTACCAGTAACTGATTGTACCTGTGTTTCGCCCTTTCCCTTGAGTGTTGAGCATCAGCCAGATTACCTGGTAACTCCCTGCAGCTCCATTCTCATCAGACCGTAATGAGTTATTTGTGTCCACTATCTCTTAAAGGGCCTTGCATCATCTAGCTTGTCATACATCAGTTTACCACCAAGTTGTTGCAGAAGAGAGTTCATGATTTCTGTGTTTATACTACACATTGTAGTGTTCTTTTACAGGTATTGAGCGAGATGCAGTAACTATATTCTCAACATACATTGCTAAGGATGCCCCACAGCCTATTGGAGTAGACGACATGCTCAGATCTGACGTTATCAGTGAGTTCTTGTGTTACTGCTGTATGAACTAATGTTTTCTTCATTTTCAGAAATAAACAGTTGGGGAATCATTGAGGTCATAAAACGAGGTAGAAATATAGAAGGGGACATTAGACACATTAAAAATCCAAAGCAATAGTTATCTTGCTTTGAATCGAATCTGTCACCTCTAACCTCCAAATGACGGCAGGGCCTGTCTGCAGGAACATGTGCACTAATATGCATGACCTAAAAAAAAGAAAGATGTCATCATCAAACATGTCTATCATACATCTTGAACCTTGAACCCATCCATGACTATGGAATACTGACATAATTCATCTCAGACTATTCAGATAGCACGGTAAAAGGTAAAGGACCCTTTTCCAAGCCTTTAGGCGTATAGGGCAAATAGGGCTAGACCTATATTTTATAGACCAATCGGCACAAGATGGGTGATGTGGTCAGCATCACGCTGGCCGCCTTTACTTCCTGGGACTGCACCCGTTACCGACTCAAGGCTGGGTCAACCTGGGAGCCAAGGTCATTTTTAAAATAATGTGGCTCCACCAGGGAGTGAACCCCGACCTTCCGATCCGCAGGTGAGCGTCTAGCTGCTCCGCCATGGTGACTCCCCAAATAGCAAGGTAGGCTACTCAAATTAATCTTGACCAAGCATAGATGGGATATCAGATTACATTTTAATGGCTTGAGGCAGATTCTCATATTTCTAATTCTGTGGCCATCTGTTTATTTCTGTGTATTATGTGCAACACAGTGGACCCTGACCAGTTAGTTTTATTCATTAATGGGTTTTTGTATTTTAGACACAGCAGGACATCTTGCTCATGATAGGAAGGTTTTCCGGAGGGTTGTTATGGCAGCGAGGTTCCGCGAGGGACATGCTACTGAATGAATGAATTATGGTTCTGGTAAATTGTTTAGAGGTGAATTCTCTCTGTTTTTCAATTCATGGGTTTAAGGTGTACAGTAGACATGACTATGGTTAATAAATAAGTCTTTTTAGGGGGGCCTAGGGGGTGATGCATCTTAGTACACTTGTTCATGCGCCGAGGTGCTGTTATAACTGGTGTGTGTTAGATTTGATTCCCAGCATGGCAATCTTTCGAATATAAATGCCACAGACACATTTTATGAATTAGTTATTTAGAAAACAGACTTGTGAGTTCTACAGAAGTTTTCTTCCTTTTCCTGGGAATTCTCAAATGTTCATGACCAATTTTTGTTTTTTAAACATTTGCAAGCTGAAAGTGTTGAGTGTTAAAAGTTAGTTTTTCAGAGAATTTGCAGTCAGTCCTTGACAAAACTAACCATTTCACTGTCCAGCTAATTGACTGTCCAACCAGTTGAAATATAAATAAGACAAGCCAATCTACTTTCATGGCATTTCTGTATATTGCTTTAATTCACAGGTAAGATCTGCAAAGAGAACGGGGAAGTTGACCCAGAATGCTTTCTTGGTTGCCAGAGATTTGCATTAAACCGATTGGACGTTGAGTAAGGTCTTTTTTTTTTAAAAACAAAAGTGATTTGTCATTAATATTATTTCATCTGTTAATACTTATTGCTAAACAGCTGTTTATGTGTTCTTTCTGTCTTTTGCTGTCTCACTAATATCAGGTTGAAGCCCAGTGTCGTGGTTTTCTGTATTTGTCTTATACTTCTCAGGTGGCTTGGATAATAGCTTTGCTTAACATTTTGTAGGTTTCAGCTGTGCCATTTAATCCTCTCTTTCTTGGTCTTCCTCTCACCTTCCTCTGAGATTAACTGCTGTAAAAAGTCGCATATGCAGTTTAGTGCGGCTGCAGTCTCACTAGATGGCTGAACCATTTTATTTTTTGTATGACAATATAGTTTAGACATGGTCTTATTCCGACTTTCTCTCTTATGCTGGTATTCGTAACCCTGACTCCTCTTGTGTTGAAGTGACCTTGTGGAGACAGCACATTTCATATGTAGTTATTTTCTGTTCTAGTGCCCTGTTCATTGTCCATGTTTGGCACTGATAACATAAAGTAGGGATAAAGATGCTATTAATCATTTGCTGTTCTGGTTGAAGGAAGACATTTGGGTATCTAAGCAGTGGGGTTGACTGGTAGGTAACAGCATTTGCCTTCTGTACTCTGGCTTCTATCTCTATCAAGTCTGCCATCCTCTGTAAATCTGCTACCTAAATATTTGAATTCTCGTACTTGTTTGATTGTAGTTTTGTTATCTTATTCGGTATATAAATTTAGAGTTATGCCTGTTATCGTTTATAGTTCCGACCTCACAGCATACAGGTCACCCCTTAAGTGCTCGTTTCCTGTGCCACTGGGAGGAAAAAAATGCCCACACACTGGTTCATGTGAATAGTTAGACAGCAGTAAAAGCAAAATCGGACAGCTCTTAACAACATTAAATGCACAAGGCAGTCACCAGAGTTGCCAAAACCAGAAGTCTGTCACAAGAATTGCTGTTCAATGTTGATGACAAGTTTAGGGGAATGGGGTCTGTGTGGTTTAGAGGATTGCTCTGATATGAAGTTCAGGATCAGATGCAGTTGTGGACACTGCTTGAAGCAAATTTTTTCAGAGGCATCTCTTGTATGATTGTGACAATAGAATATTGGGGCTTGAAAACCAGCTGTATGCACATGTTGTAATTGTAAATGACCCACAGAGCATGATGAGAAAGATGGAGACAAGTATGCTGAGGAAGGTGGGGACAAGTATGCTGAGAAAGGTGGAGACAAGTATGATGAGAAAGGTGGAGACAAGTATGCTGAGAAAGGTGGAGACAAGTATGCTGAGAAAGGTGGAGACAAGTCTGATGAGAAAGGTGGAGACAAGTATGATGAGAAAGGTGGAGACAAGTATGCTGAGAAAGGTGGAGACAAGTCTGATGAGAAAGGTGGAGACAAGTATGATGAGAAAGGTAGAGACAAGTATGCTGAGAAAGGTGGAGACAAGTATACTGAAAAAGGTGGAGACAAGTATGATGAGAAAGGTAGAGACAAGTATGATGAGAAAGATGGAGACAAGTATGCTGAGAAAGGTGGGGACAAGTATGCTGAGAAAGGTGGGGACAAGTATGCTGAGAAAGGTGGAGACAAGTATGATGAGAAAGGTGGAGACAAGTATGCTGAGAAAGGTGGAGACAAGTCTGATGAGAAAGGTGGAGACAAGTATGATGAGAAAGGTAGAGACAAGTATGCTGAGAAAGGTGGAGACAAGTATGCTGAAAAAGGTGGAGACAAGTATGATGAGAAAGGTAGAGACAAGTATGATGAGAAAGATGGAGACAAGTATGCTGAGAAAGGTGGGGACAAGTATGCTGAGGAAGGTGGGGACAAGTATGCTGAGAAAGGTGGAGACAAGTATGCTGAGGAAGGTGGGGACAAGTATGCTGAGAAAGGTGGAGACACGTCTGATGAGAAAGGTGGAGACAAGTCTGATGAGAAAGGTAAAGACAAGTATGCTGAGAAAGGTGGAGACAAGTCTGATGAGAAAGGTGGAGACAAGTCTGATGAGAAAGGTAGAGACAAGTATGATGAGAAAGGTGGAGACAAGTATGATGAGAAAGATGGAGACATGTATGCTGAGAAAGGTGGGGACAAGTATGCTGAGGAAGGTGGGGACAAGTATGCTGAGAAAGGTGGAGACAAGTATGCTGAGGAAGGTGGGGACAAGTATGCTGAGGAAGGTGGGGACAAGTATGCTGAGGAAGGTGGGGACAAGTATGCTGAGGAAGGTGGAGACAAGTATGCTGAAAAAGGTGGAGACAAGTATGCTGAGAAAGGTGGAGACAAGTATGATGAGAAAGGTAGAGACAAGTATGATGAGAAAGATGGAGACAAGTATACTGAGAAAGGTGGGGACAAGTATGCTGAGGAAGGTGGGGACAAGTATGCTGAGGAAGGTGGGGACAAGTATGCTGAGGAAGGTGGGGACAAGTATGCTGAGGAAGGTGGGGACAAGTATGCTGAGAAAGGTGGAGACAAGTATGCTGAGAAAGGTGGGGACAAGTATGCTGAGGAAGGTTGGGACAAGTATGCTGAGGAAGGTGGGGACAAGTATGCTGAGGAAGGTGGAGACAAATATGCTGAGAAAGATGGGGACAAGTATGCTGAGGAAGGTGGGGACAAGTATGCTGAGGAAGGTGGGGACAAGTATGCTGAGAAAGATGGGGACAAGTATGCTGAGGAAGGTGGGGACAAGTATGCTGAGGAAGGTGGGGACAAGTATGCTGAGGAAGGTGGGGACAAGTATGCTGCATGCAAGAATCTCTACAGAGGTCCTGGACAGTTAGCATCCTTTGGATATTTTCTCCAAATCATGCTCATAGTTGGGAAACAAATAAGTAGATAGACTGGCTGGTTCTGCACAGTTTGGTGCTGAATTGATCCATGACAAGCTAGATGTTGTAAGGGCCCTTTGGGAGTGAGGGAACAATGAGGAGACACAAACAGATCTCACCGTCTGAGGGGAATGGTATTGCGAGCAGTGACCAGGGGATCTGGTCAATGTTTAACACTCAAGGAAAAGGCGATACCTATTTATATATATATATATATATATTTACAATTAATCTGTTAGTGAATTGGAACTCTGCGCTAGCTGCTGAAAATGATGATGAGACATTTACAAGAGTGTCCTGAGTGCTATGGTATCGATTCTTAATTCAGAATTTGACAAAAGAGTTATAAATAAGTTTACATTAGGGGTTCAGATGTTCTGAAAAATGTATATAGTGCACCAGGGCTCCTACTGGTCAAGCCCTATCCACGTCACTTCACATTCAACCTAGATACTTGTTCCCAAAAACTGACAGAATTCCAAAGTTCATCTCATGATCCACCACAACCATCCGGACAGTTCACTCGAGCTCCAAAGAATAAAACTGTCACACACAAGTCCATGCATCCATAGGACTTGAACCATTCGAGCGCACTCCACACACTTTGACCGATGGCCAACTGACTGACTCAGACTACTTCAGGACTTTTCCAGACCTGCAGACAGTTCTGCGTGGATCTCACCTTCTCGCCAACAGTCGGTGTTCACAACCCATTTATGCAGTTGACACACACGGATCCCACAATATCCATGATGAGCTCAAGTTTCTCATGAACTTCAAGCAAATCATGTTTCTCCAGTGCCTCATGCTTCACTCACTTCCAGTGACCCCAGATGTTTAGATTCAGAACCCGTCAACACAGTATAAAATGCAGGCGTGTGCCCATGCTTCATGCAGCCCTTGCCTTATTAACTCTTTATACGCTAGAATAAAATTTCTCATACAACAGGCCGCCTCGCCCGCCTAGATGAATTGAGGTTTCTTTGAAGTTGGAGTGCATTTTCTTGGGAGGAAAAGGAAGGACAAGTGCCAGCACTTTCTGTCTTTTACAAGCTGGTGAAGAACAAGAAGAGGAAGTAGAAAGGAAACGCAGGACACCCTTACATCTCTCTCCATACCTTCCTAATGTATCTGAAGGAATAGATAAAGAAGATTCATTGTTCTTGTTATTGTCATTTTTTTTTCCTAGGTACTTTCAGTCTTTCAGAGACAGTGAGTTTCACTGTCGACATCAAGTTAATGTGCTCACCACAGAGAAAGTTTATCTGGCAGATATTCTCTTTAATGAAAATGCTCTCTGTTACTTCATGGAGGTATGTTCCCGTTCTTGTTGCAGTTGTTGTTTTTTGTTACTGGTTCTGAACTTGATGAAAGTTCTGGTGTTCATTCATTTCTGGTCTTTGGTCTTATTCCAGTATTTGAATTTTGCATGCACACCTATTTTACAGATATCACATATTTATATGCAGACTGTTGGTTCCTCACCTCTCAGGCAGATACACTCCTGCTTTGAAGAAAACAGTAGCTGTCTTTTGCAACACTCTTGTCGCGGGGACAGCGGGTCTATATTTTTTCTTCAGACCCCAGTGTGGGCTCCTGGAAACACACGCAGAGTTGTGTTTTTGCTGCTGAGTTAACTTATCTTGGCTGCTGTGTAGGTTATTATGTTTATATTGATTTACTCAACACCAGGAAAGTCTTGATTTGAATCCCCATCAAGTTGGATTTTTTTTCTTCTCTGAATTGGCCTTGGCTTCCATATTGACCTAGCTTAACATGGGTGCCAGGTATGTCCTGGGAAGTAAAGGTGGTCATCATGATTTTGACGGGTTGGTTGGGCTGTTAGAAAATGAGTAGCCTCATTTACCTGATTTGCAAATGCAGGTGTGTTGGGAAAAGAGTAGGCAGATAGACTGGCCGGTTCTGCACCTCTGAGTGGTGAACTGATGTATGACAAGCTAGATGTTGTGAGGGCCCTTTGGGGGCGAGTGAACAGTGAGGAAGCACAGATAGATCATGAGTGTCTAAGGAGAATGACACTGCTGGGAGTTACCAGGGGATTTGGCCGAGACTCAGCTCTGACCGGAAGGGTGAGATGGAGATACAGTCAGACAGTTATGGGTACCATCGGAACTGGAACTTTTGGCTTACTGCTGAAGATGATGACAGAGCATTTATGGGAGGGTCCTAAGTGCTGTGATAATGATTCTCAATTCAACAATCAACATGATGCACAACTGGCACAAAAAAGAAAAAAAGCCCTAAGAAATAAAGATAAAGATAAACAGTTGCATCAGTGTATGGGCTCCACCTCAGAAGTAAGGACGGGTCTGAAATAGCAAGGAGCACTGCCATTGAACGAACGAACGAACAATCTTTATTTTTAAAGGGTTAATAATTGGGCACACAGGCCCGTCTAACATTCTGCCCTTCGAGGTCTCCCTCTATTCCTACATTTCTAACTACAATAAACCGTATTGGTTGTTATAAATCTATGGAAAATGGCGCTATTTCAAAAATATTTGTCTTTTTGTCCTCTTTGGGGGCATGTAATCTGTGCTTAAATAATATTCAAACAGTTTTCGGTTGTACCTATAGGGACTAGTGGTATTTTTGATCTCTTGTGGAAGACAGTTCCATAGCTGAGCTGCGTACGCTAAACTTGATTTCTATAGGTCTATCCTAGGTTTAGGGATGTGTAATATGTTTAGGCGTTTACTGTGCCTTCCATTATATTTAAACAACGGCCATAAGTAACATGGAGCTTTTTTGGATAATATTTTGTGCATAAATTTCGCCTCATTGAAAAGTAAACGTTCACGAAGCGGTAGTAGCATAAGACCTTTAAATTTTTCGGAACTCACTGTTCCATGATTATTACTTATTAGGCAAATGGCACACTTTTGCAGTGAGAGAAGCTAGAAATCCTTTGCAAAAGGTGACTAGCTAGTCATTGTGCCAGTGACTCCTGGATCCAGTTATGTGCAGAGGCATTTAAAATGCTCGCAGTAGTGGAAATATTAGTGGCATGTATGAGGGCGGGGGAAAAAAAAGGTCCAAGCATGAAAAGAGGCCATGTATTCTTCATCTCAAACTCCATGCCGTCTGGCGTTGGTAGTCATGTCTATCCATAAATAACCCTCTGTCTCGTGTGAATTTTCAGTCAACTCTGATACAGATGATCTTCCATCCCATGATGTCAGTCCAGCATTTTTTCTCTTGGTCTCCCTCTGCCTCTCCTCCTCCTCCGACTTTCATACTGTCACGATGTACTCCCGTTTTCTCTTTCTGATCACATGATCAAAGAATGTGATTGACTGATACCTTTTCGTCTTTTGAAACAAGTGTTATACTGCACTATGAGGAGGCATGGGTCTCACAGCCCATGGCGATGGGGAGTGTGACTAGCAAGACCTGCCCATGTTAAGAAGTCTTTCACAATTATAGCATGAGATTTCAGGGCCATTGTTGTAAACATTTGTGTTTAGTTTGTCACCAAAAAGATGATGTGGGCAATCAGTTCTGTGCCATGCATAGTTAAGAATATTTACATTTAGAACCTGTTCTGACATCTGTGAAATCTGTGACTGGTTCAGTACATGGAGCAAGAAGGTGCCAGTGACTTGATGCAGATGTGGTTGGCAGCAGATAACTTCCAGCAGCAGTTGACCTCAACCACTGGCTGCTATGATCCAGAACAGGCACAGAACGATGCGATGGTTATATACGATCGGTGAGCAAACATGACCCGCTTATTGTTGGCACCTTTCTGTCTTTCCGGGTGATAATGCTATATTTGAGTAGTGGCTGGCCGAGCGGTAACAACCTTGGGCCCTCGTGCGGGCGACCGGGGTTCGACCCCAGGTAAGGTGATGGGGATTTTCAGTCGGTGGCAAAATTAAACATCCTAACCTGTACAGTCCGTAGTGACAGCACTAGTCATACGGCCCTAAATCCTCAGGCTCATGACCCGCTGTCTACACCACCCCAAGAATTAGTACATACATTAGTGACATCACTAGCCATACGGCCCTAAATCCTCAGGCTCATGACCCGCTGTCTACACCACCCCAAGAATTAGTACATACAGTAGTGACAGCACTAGCCATACGGCCCTAAATCCTCAGGCTCATGACCCGCTGTCTACACCACCCCAAGAATTAGTACATACAGTAGTGACAGCACTAGCCATACGGCCCTAAATCCTCAGGCTCATGACCCGCTGTCTACACCACCCCAAGAATTAGTACATACAGTAGTGACAGCACTAGCCATACGGCCCTAAATCCTCAGGCTCATGACCCGCTGTCTACACCACCCCAGAATTAGTACACACAGTAGTGACAGCACTAGCCATACGGCCCTAAATCCTCAGGCTCATGACCCGCTGTCTACACCACCCCAAGAATTAGTAGTACATTAGTGACAGCACTAGCCATACGGCCCTAAATCCTCAGGCTCATGACCCGCTGTCTACACCACCCCAAGAATTAGTACATACAGTAGTGACAGCACTAGCCATAGGCCTAGTATTCTCTGAGGCAGTGGGCACAGTGTGGGACGTCAGGTTTCGGTTAGGTTTAAGTTAGTCTCCCCCAAAGTAGGTCACGTTTCATTCATAAGTTTGTTGGGCTGGTCTACTTTCCTGCAGGTTATGGGTGTGCCACTTTGTTGTTTGCTTTCTGGGTTGTCTTTCATTTATGGTTTTTTTCTGAGAAAGAGAATGCCTGTGACATAAGTTGCAGCAGTCTCTAGTGGGGTTGTGTTGGACCCAGTTTGTCCATGTTTTTGGAGTGTTAAAAGCGCTGGCGAGCTGAAATATGCAACACGCGATATCATCGGCATTGAGGAAAACCCCCGTAACTTGATGCCAAGGTCACGTGGCTCAAGATCTACCAATGAGCAGTGAGCTAGTGTGAATATGGGCGGGATCTGGGGAGACCAACGTTAGTTTTACCCAGGTTTCTTATACGCTGCCCAGTATTCCAACAAAAATTACCTGCTGATTACACTGATGAGATCTGCCTACCCTTTGTTGGGCTCTTCTCCTCCTCCTCCTCCTCCTTCTTTTTCTTCTTCTTTATGTTCACCTGCTGTAAACTGTGGCAGAATAGTTTTGCTGGTTTGTCCACTTCTGAACTTTGGTCTTATTCCAGAACTTGTGTTTTGCATACACATCTGTTTTACATCTGCATGCAGACTGTCAGTTTCTTGCTTTTCAAGCAGATGCACTCTGACTTTGGAGGATACACCAGTAATTAGTGGACTTTTGCAACTGTGCGCCTTCCCCCCCAACCCAAAATGGGTTCTCTTAACCCACATTAACCCATGACAGGTTCAAATTCCAGCATTGTCATTATAACCTTTAAAAGCTATGTCTACTGATATGTGTCTGTGTGGTCACTTTATCATAAGAACCGATTGATTGAGTGCTTCCTTTAAAGTCGGCACACATCTGCCAGAGAGGTAAGGAATCAGTTGTCCGCATACAGATAAGCCAGATCGGTCAAACAGATGTGCATACAACACTCAGGTTCTGGAACAAGACAAAAGTCCAGAGGTGGGCGAACAGCCAGAACTTTGGAGTTTACCACTGGTGAACATGAAGAAGAAGATCAAGTGTGTATACAGTTTTCTGTAAAAAATACCCTTTCATGCCATGACAGAAGGCTGTCAGAAATCTTTTTCTATTGTTTTCTTTTATATCTTTTTGCGTAAATTTCCGGTGGCTGCAGCATATTGGGGCTGATGGACATGGAGGGTGCAGCCTGGAGCTGCAAGAAATGAACATTTCACTAAATAGGACAAGAAGTTTCAGTAACCAACACAGAACATTGTTTTCTTTTATCTATCTTTTTCCATAAATTTCCGGTGGCTGCAGCATATTGGGGTGGTGTCTTCTCGTGCCTTTTTCTGATTTACAGATAAGTCAGGTCTGTGAAATAGATATGCATACGGCACTCTGGTTCTGGAAAAGGATTATGGTCCAGAAGTTGATGAACAACCAGAACTTTCCGTCAGAGTTTACAGCTGGTGAGCCTGAAAAAGAAGAATACAAAAACCTACGCTTACTCAGATTGTGTGACCTCTTAGTGCAGGCCCCTACTTTATGAATGTTTCTTATTTATTGTACTGTACTGTCATCCCCATGTAAGATGCTATTTTTCATTATTCCAAGCCCCCACCCTGGCTTTTGCTGTGGGCCCTGAATATAGCCGACCATGAATGTGGCCATAATGGATGAAAAAGGTTTCTGGGACCTTTCCATAGGTGATCCTCATTGGCATGGTGTTTATCGCTTGTGTGATGTCCTGGTGGGGTACAACAAGCAAGCAAGCAAGCTGTACATTTAAACGTTTATAACGGATAAAAAGAAGTCCAGCTATTAAAAACCTTCATATTTTAAGAAAACCTGTATAATGTCTGTCCTAATTGCAAGAAAAATAAGATCACCTGACACACACTTGCAGCGACTGGCAAAGTAAATTATTCCTTATTTCATTACTTGCAAGTTAGTTGCGTATCCTTTACAGGACGTTGCAGAACCAACCCAACCCTAGTATTTTTTGGCTGTTGTGGTTTTTCTAGACAAATTCACATCTAGTGGTTTGCCATTGCTTTCAGGACAGTCGCCTTTTCGATACCACTGTTGAAACCAGTGCAAGGCGCAAGGCCGGCAGCTGGGATCGAACCCTGCCTTACGAAGCATGTTTGCAACGCCTAAGCCACAGACGCTGACATTTCATTACCAAGAATACTAGGTCGGATAGTATGGAGTCCGGATAATCATGAGCCAGATTATCGAGGTTCTACTGTATTTGTGATAAGTGATAAGGATTAGTAAGGATTATCATCACAGCACTCCTGACAGATCCATAGATGCTCCGATCTCCTCCGCAAAAGCTCCACAAGTGTAAAACAGCTGATGACCCCTGTTCTGTGTTGATTACTGAAACTTCTTGTCCCAGTGAAATGTTCATTTTTTGCAGCTCCAGGCTGCACCTCCATGTCCATCAGCCTAGACAGGGATATTGAGTCATGCCCCTTGGCGTGCTCATCATGGTGGTAAGTGCTGCACATGACATTGATAACAACGCTTCTGTCCAGTACTGGACCAGCCATAGCAACCCCAGTGTTGGCGAGATAATCTGTGATGAGTGATTGCTGTAATCATCCAAGTTCACACTGGAAAACATGAAATCCAACTATTTTATCATACAGTGAAACCTAGCTAACATGAACTCGCTTAAGAAGAAGGCTTAGTTATACATCTGTTAGTCCCCAGTTAGCTCAGCACACATTTTTTTTTTAACATGAACACCGGATTGTTTGGTTCCTTGGAGTTTGTGTTGAGGTTTTACTGTATTTTAATTGCATCTCGTTTTCAGGTACTTTTCTTTACAAGCCACGAACCCAATTGGTTTTGATGACAAGTTACGATTTGAAGTTGAGGGCAATATCTGTCGAGAAGGAGGTCCATTGCCTGACTGTTTTACCAAGGCCAAAAACATAGTGCTCAAGATTTTAGACAAGGTATGCAATGAAAATCTGGTTAAGTTGATTTGAGTCTAATTTCTGTTCTCTTTGCTGATTCTTTTCTCTTTTTCTTCATCCATTACTTTTCTTCTCTTCCCATCCTGTTCTCTGTTATGTTCTTATTTTCAATCCCTTTTTTCTATTACGATTGCTGATCCACGGCTTCTGTTTCTTCTGATGTATCTTTTGTTCACAATAAAATTGTGTGCTGTCTCTGCGAAACCACACAGAAAGGGCTTACTGGACAACAGTTATTATCATTTTTTTCTTATTTAATTCTGACTGAATGAGCTAAATTTATTAATACTGTAGCACCTCAATTTACATTCCCTTTTGTATACTTCTTCTTTTGATGCGCAAAATGTTGCGTGGTGTATAAACCTTGGAATATGATTTGCATGCTGGAACTTGTGTGGGTCAAAATGAGCCACGACACCACACACTACTCTTGTTTACTGCTCTCATTAATTAAGGAAATACATGAGTTGGCTCTGTGGCTAAGTTGATGCGAATGTTTTGTAATTCCTTGGTGCCGGGTTCGATCCCAGCTGCGGCCATGTGCCTTCGTTGGTTTCGACAGTTGATATGAAGAAGCTGACCATCCAGAAAGCAACAGCAAACTACTGGACGTAAATTTGCCTAGGTAAACCACACAACAGCCAGGGGCTGCTAACCTTTTTGACACATGAATAGTTGTTAGAAAGTTTGCAAGTACCAATCCAAAAAAAACCAGATAAGCATTGTCTGGAATGACAAATGTCACCTTTCCAAAACTTCCAGAGGAGAAAGCAGAAGTGAAGTTCTTTGGACAGTAAAAGTCACACCTGGTGAACCCTAGCCAGGTCCAAGTAGGGAAAAGAGATTCCCCCCCCCCCCCCCCCCCCCCCCCCCAAATGATAAAAACACCAGAATTTTAAATTCCAGAAGTTTTATTAAAAGGTGATTTTCCTTCTTGACAGTAACCCCCCCCCCCTTTTCCCCCCACCTTTTCCTTCCTTTCCTCCTTCCTTCTCAGCACCATCCTAGTAGGTACTTGACTCTTCTGCCTTTTGTTTTTATCTATTTTAGTATTAAGCAGTATTTAAATTATTTTGTACAACCTTATCAGTATATAATAGACCAGTAATAATAGAATTGTGTTAATTAGAATGGATTAATCATTCTGCCTTTATTTCTTATATGAAAAATTCATTTGGCATACATCCTTTTTTGGTATATGTCCACTGATCTGGAATGAATTATGACTGTAACTACTGAGGTACCACTGTGTTTGCTCTGTTCTATTGTCAGACATATTTCTAGCAGTGGTTTCCACATCTCTTCTGCTAGGTTTACTTTGCTGGTTACCTCCAGGGACACATTTACTACAGATACTTGTCAGATCTGCTCAGCACAGTATAGATTTCCACATCTCTTCTGCTAGGTTCATTTTACTGGTTACATTTAGGGACACATTTACTACAGATACTTGTCGGATCTGCTCAGCACAGTACAGATTTTCACATCTCTTTTGCTAGGTTTACTTTGCTGGTTACCTCCAGGGACACATTTACTACAGATACTTGTCAGATCTGCTCAGCACAGTATAGATTTCCACATCTCTTCTGCTAGGTTCATTTTACTGGTTACATTTAGGGACACATTTACTACAGATACTTGTCGGATCTGCTCAGCACAGTACAGATTTTCACATCTCTTTTGCTAGGTTTACTTTGCTGGATACCTCCCAGGGACACATTTACTACAGATACTTGTCGGATCTGCTCAGACAGTATAGATTTCCACAATCTCTTCTGCTAGTTCATTTACTGGTTACATTTAGGGACACATTTACTACAGATACTTGTCGGATCTGCTCAGCACAGTACAGATTTTCACATCTCTTTTGCTAGGTTTACTTTGCTGGTTACCTCCAGGGACACATTTACTACAGATACTTGTCGGATCTGCTCAGCACAGTATAGATTTCCACATCTCTTCTGCTAGGTTCATTTTACTGGTTACATTTAGGGACACATTTACTACAGATACTTGTCGGATCTGCTCAGCACAGTACAGATTTTCACATCTCTTTTGCTAGGTTTACTTTGCTGGTTACCTCCAGGGACACATTTACTACAGATACTTGTCGGATCTGCTCAGCACAGTACAGATTTTCACATCTCTTTTGCTAGGTTTACTTTGCTGGTTACCTCCAGGGACACATTTACTACAGATACTTGTCAGATCTGCTCAGCACAGTATAGATTTCCACATCTCTTCTGCTAGGTTCATTTTACTGGTTACCTCCAGGGACACATTTACTACAGATACTTGTCAGATCTGCTCAGCACAGTACAGATTTTCACATCTCTTCTGCTAGGTTCATTTTACTGGTTACCTCCAGGGACACATTTACTACAGATACTTGTCGGATCTGCTCAGCACAGTACAGATTTTCACATCTCTTCTGCTAGGTTCATTTTACTGGTTACCTCCAGGGACACATTTACTACAGATACTTGTCGGATCTGCTCAGCACAGTACAGATTTTCACATCTCTTCTGCTAGGTTTACTTTGCTGGTTACCTCCAGGGACACATTTACTACAGATACTTGTCGGATCTGCTCAGCACAGTACAGATTTCTGAAGACATGCCCAGCAAGCATTTCCTGAAGGGACACAGAAGAGCTGGTGAGTCTGTTCTGTTTTAAGCGGTCATGATACCAAACACTAGTAACCGTCCCTGTGAGGGTTGTAGTTTTATCGTTATTTGAAGCTCCACCCTGGCTTTTGCCGGGGGCCCTAAATATAGCCGGACTATAAATATGGCCTATCGGCTGAACAGGGTTTCCGGGACCTCTTCGGGGGTGATCCTCATCCGCATATTGGCACTTTGTGTCAGCGGGTGTGTATCCCTTTGTGTGATGTCCTGGTGGGATACAGCTTACATAAATACAATTTGTTTTTTGTGTGGGTTTTTTCTAAATTAGCAATGTTTGACTAATTATTTTATATTGGTTTTTTTCAGTGATACAAATTGATACTTTTTAAACTTCAAGTTGTAAAATAAATCATTGTCCCCATGGCAACGGCTGCCATATTGAGGCAGTTACATTTATCTGAATTGTTAGCTTTGCTCCTTCTGCTCATTATTTTATTAATTTAATTACTTTGTACTCTTGATTTTTCAGTAAATGAGTTGAAGTAATTATAGCTGGAACTACCCCAACCAAAAAAATTACATTTACTGCCTGATTTCACCACTAATGTGGTGTACTCAGAGGGATCTTTGAACCTGAGGCTTCAGGGCCACAGTGCTAGTGCAGTTCCCACTGAATGTGCAGGTTAGGATTTTATTGTTCCCCCCCCCCCACTTCCCCCTCCCTCCCTCAGGCAAGTGTCTAGCCACTACTTTAGCATGACTCCCATGTTTAATAGACCATGAATTACCAAATTGTTCCATGCACACAATGATTTTTTCTCATATTTAAAAAAAAAAAATAAAGTCTACAGTTGGGTGTTGTTTTTTGTGCAGAATAGGTTTTGAAAATGTATTTCTTAATTTGGGCTACATGAAAAACATGATATTTTCTGACATTTTCCAATCCTACAGCAAGTGACGCTTCATCAGAACTTAGCATAGACAGTTAGGGCACCAGAGTAATCTCCCCTCCTTCCCTTCTAGTTTGTCCATATCATTCTACACTCCATTTTTTTTTCCGTCCATCTTATTCTGATGTGGGTAATCATTTCTCTTTATGGGTTTATTCTCCCAGTATTCCATGTATTAATTTATGACATCTTCCAATCCTACAGAAAGTGATGCTTCATCAGAACTTAGCATAGACAGTTTGGGAACTAGAGTAATCTCCCCTCCTTCCCTTCTAGTTTGTCCATATCATTCTATACTCCATTTTTTTTCCGTCCATCTTATTCTGATGTGGGTAATCATTTCTCTTTATGGGTTAATTCTTCCAGTATTCCATGTAATAATTTATGACATCTTCCAATCCTATAGAAAGTGATGCTTCATCAGAACTTAGCATAGACAGTTTGGGCACCAGAGTAATCTCCCCTCCTTCCCTTCTAGTTTGTCCATATCATTCTGTACTCCATTTTTTTTCCCGTCCATCTTATTCTGATATGGGTAATCATTTCTCTTTATGGGTTAATTCTCCCAAAAGTCCATGTATTAATTTATGACATCTTCCAATCCTACAGAAAGTGATGCTTCTTCAGAACATAGTGTGGGAAGCCAGAGCACGGGAGCCGAGAGTGTGGTGTCACGCAACACGCTGCTGGCTGTGGACACCAGGAAGCTGCGCAAAGGAAGCACAATTGAAGGTGACTTCAGCATGAGCATGGACATGTTTAACCCAGATGTCTTGTGGAAAAGACCGGATGCAAAGTGAGTTGTGTTTTTTCTTACAGTAAAGACGATTTACTCCTTTGTGTTATTTCCTTGTATTTTCTTTGTCTGTTAATATGAAGATTACACTTTTGAGAACAGTTTTGTGTCAAATCTGTGGGCATAATTCATTATATTACACTTTTGAGAACAGTTTTCTGACAAATCTTTGGGCATAACTGATAATATAAAATGGGAGCTGCGTAGTCTCGAGGCATGGTGTCGGCCTTGAGTGCTGGAGGTCCCGGGCTCAAGCTCTGGTGAAGGCTGGGTTTTTTTCACGTAGCCTGATGATCTGTAAAAATATCAATCTAGCATCTGCAATGACTCTCTTGGCTCTAATCCTGTGCAGTCTGCTCTGACATGTTCTCAAATACTGTAACACAGCAAACTTGACCAGAAGCACATGTTGCGAAAACACCAAACAGCTGATAATGATTGAGTTTATTCTGCAACAATGTCCTCTCGATCAGAAACATGCCAGAGCTAAATTGTCTAGGGTCCTGGCTGTATTCACAAGCATATTTGTACTTAACTCTTTTGAGTCCCAAGGAACGCATCATATGTTCATAGGTTACCGCCTCGAAGCTCAATGAACGCATGATGCACCGATTTTACGTCTCTTTTGACTACCTCTTGGGCCTGTGATGATAAACCCTCTGGGAGAGAGTTAAATCAAACCATAAGGATTAACACTGTCACTGCATCTCACCCGGCACTTCACACACAACAAACTCCCAAAGCACCATCAGAAACTACACAGTCACAAATGCCTTTCATTCCTCCATCATATGTTTTCATGGATCTGGTAGGTTGAAGCAATCATGTGCTCACTTCAGGCTTCATTCATTTCACGTATTTCAGCCTGCAACAAGACCAGATCGAAACAAGACTCGACTATCTCAGTTTCTCATGGCTCCAGACTGTTCTCACGCATTTCTCGCACTGTCCGCTTCTCATGACTTTTGACCTTCTACCCAAAATTCATGCTTGCCTCATCAAGTTTATGCTTGCCTCAACTTGACACTCAGTCTGTTCACACACGCTTTAGACCACCCATTTAGAATAGTTTATGCTTGCCTCAACTTGACACTCTGTTCACACACGCTTTAGACCACCCATTTAGAATAGTTTATGCTTGCCTCAACTTGACACTCTGTTCACACACACTTTAGACCACCCATTTAGAATAGTTTATGCTTGCCTCAACTTGACACTCTGTTCACACACGCTTTAGACCACCCATTTAGAATAGTTTATGCTTGCCTCAACTTGACACTCTGTTCACACACACTTTAGACCACCCATTTAGAATAGTTTATGCTTGCCTCAACTTGACACTCTGTTCACACACACACACTTTAGACCACCCATTTAGAATAGTTTATGCTTGCCTCAACTTGACACTCTGTTCACACACACTTTAGACCACCCATTTAGAATAGTTTATGCTTGCCTCAACTTGACACTCTGTTCACACACACTTTAGACCACCCATTTAGAATAGTTTATGCTTGCCTCAACTTGACACTCTGTTCACACACGCTTTAGACCACCCATTTAGAATAGTTTATGAAAAGGAGATATGAAGAAGAAAATGACTCCTAACACATCAAAAACAGCATGTGTCACTGGCATGGAAAGGTTTCTTTATGTTTTAGATACTTGAATGCTGCTCCAGGAAAATAAATACAAATTACATAAATTAAACATAAATTGGTCTTGCCTAATATTTTCTAAGTAATTTTTTTGTTTATTATGTTCATATTATTTTTTCTTCCATCTAGCAACTTGAGTCTGGGCTGTGTTAATGAACTGGGCCAGTTTGTGTCCAGGTTTGAGCATGGGTCAGAGACAGAGAAGAAGAAAGGTAAGTGACGGATTTAAAAAAAAGTTTTTTTTAATTTATTGTTTTAATATTATTATTTTTTTAATAACCTTTCCTTCCGTCTTTTCAGACTATAGTATTTGATCATTCTGAAGGGCGGCATTAGAATCACAGCCATTGGCGAGTGTGACGAGCAAGATGCCTACACCAGTGGGCAGAGCACGTGATAATGATGATGAATTATAATATTGACTAATTATGTAATGAGCTGATGAAAGCATTCTTGCAGCAACATTCACTTGTTGTTTATGATTGTGATAATGTGAATGTGACTAGTTCCAGTTTTTATTTAAATTTGAAATCATTTGATTTTACATCTCAGAAGAGAGTCTAGAAGCCCAGGTTAATCTTCTTTCTGTGTTAACTGTGGCGGAAAGTTCTAGGTATTCGTCCACCTCTGGACTTTGTTCCAGAACCTCAGTGTTGCCTGCACATCCATTTTATACATATGATTTATCTGCATGCAGATTGTTGGTTCCTTGCCTCTCAGGCAGATGCACTCGGACTTTGAAAGAAAGCTCCCAGCTAGTTGACTTTAACGACATGCTTGTGGGCAGGCAGTGGGTCTGTTCTTGTTTTCCCTACAGTTGGCCCCCGGAACCCACACGGGGAGTGTTTTATTAGTTTTCTTCTGCATTCACCCTTCGGCGGGCGGTTGGCAAGTTATGTTGTCTTTAACAGCAAGGCTGTGATATCTGCACCTTTTGGCTCAACACATCTCTGATTTCAACAAACTCCTATGGGGGGGAGGGGGGGGGGGGACTCCTCAGTATATTGTTTTCCTACCAAAATTGAGTCCACATAAACCACATGCTGTCTGCTGGTTAGACAGCAGATTCAGAGTACAAGATAATGCAGAATATTTCTATTTTACAACAATATTTGCCTGGAGTTGCATTGAATCTGGCTAATTAACCATTGTTCTTGTATTCTTTTAAGGTCCAATTCTTTTCAAGAGGCGAAAGGACAAAGAGAAGGTAAATAGTTTTTTGTTGTTGTGTGTGTGTGGGTATAAATATTAGTTGTGCTCAGACTGTGCATCGTACAGAGGTATATCACTCTTTAGCCACATTGGAAACATCTGTGCGAAATTATTAGAACAGAGAGTTAGACCCATAGTGGCTCAGCACTTAAGTACATCACAATTTGGTTTCAGGGTTCCTCCAAGCCGGAGTACATCTGCCGGTGAGGCAGGAATCGGCAAACAAATAAGCCAGTAAAACAGGATGTTCACGTAAAACTCCGGTTCCGGTAAAAGCCAAAAGTCCAAATGGGCGAACTACCGGGACTTTCTGCCGAAATTCGCAGCGGTGAACGAAGAAGAAGAAGAAGATTTCAGGAAAGGAAGAGGTTGCACACGTGCATTATTTACACTAAGACAAGTTTGCGAGAAAACCATTGAATGTGACGACGTAAATGAATATTGTTTTTGTAGATCAAGAAGAAGCTTTTGATAGAAACAGACTATGGGCAATTTTTTAGGATTATGGGATTCAAGAACAGATTGCTAGATAACTCATGACCACACTTCTCAAAGCGCAATGAGAACACAAGAAGGCATATCTGAAATGTTTAAAATCAATACAGGGGTGAGTGCTATCTCCTGTCTTATTTACTGTATACATAGATAAGAATATCAAAAGAAGCCAGGTTTTAAGCAGTCAACCCAGAAATTCCAGCAAATAAGGAACTTTACTTTCCAGAGGAAGAATTAGATCCACAAACAATAAATGAGCTACTATTTGCAGATGATCAGAGCCTGTTCTACAATGAGGGGAGTAGAATTCTAGAAGATTTAAACAGACTAAGTTTAACATGCAGAAGATATATTATGAAAAAAAAGTGCTATTAAAACTAAAGTAATGCAGTTCAGCAGAATTTCTAGTCTGCAACATATCGGGTTGAATGGTACTTGTCTGAAGCAAGTTACAGAATCTGAAGATCTAGGAAGTATGTTCTCGGAGGATGGAAGAAAAGATTGGGAAATAGAAACAAGATGCCAACGAGACAATGCACTTATATACCAACTAACACCATTATTAAGACATCCAAACAAAAGTAGGAATGCAAAGAAACAGATTGTAAACAGCATATTCATACCAACACTGTGCTACCAGTGCCAGACTTGGACATTAACAAAGGCTAACCTATGTAAAATTAACACCCGTGAAATGAAATGCCTGAGAAAAGCCACAAACTTAACCATCCGAGACAAAGTTAGAAATGATGTTGTCAGACAGACTGTAGGAACAACACCATGCAGTAAATTCATTGAGAAACAGAAGATCAAATGGTTTGGTCATTTAGTAAGAATGCAGCCAGAACAACTATCAATGTAGGCGCTACACATGAAAAGATCTGAAGTGAAAGCAAAAGGCCGCTCCAGGAGAACATGGATTGATGATATTAAATAGCTTTTACATAGACACAGAATAGCAATAACCATGACCATCTTCATCATGTGCCATGCCAATAAGCACAGGCTGTCATGTTTCAGTCATAAGAATCACAGATCTAGTCTGTTCTTGTCTCGCCCCAATCTGTCCGGAAAAGCCATCGAGGTATGAATTGAATTGAGTCAAGAAATGACATCACATCACTGGGAGCATTCCTGTGTGTGCTCCGTCCTCATTTTCAGCAGCCAGCACAGAGTGCCAGTACTAATGGTATGGGTTGTAGTCTGGTTAAATGCCCGTCTTGCCTTTCCTCTGAGTGAAGTGAGCCGGCCAGACCCTCTAGCTACACCGAGGTTCATCATTCACTCTAAGCTATAATAATCTTGTTTCTCTTCTGACTTTATTACATGTTCTTTCTGAGCCTTGATTACATCTGCCTCCAAGCAATTAAGGTGTTTGTCTTTTTTTTTATTTTATTTTTTTAACCCTTTGCTTTCTTGAAATCAGTCTTGTCTGAAACATACAGACTCTATCTACATCTGTTTTCTGTAATCAGTTGATGACTTTTGTCTTTCTCAGTGAGTACTGCCTCAGTTGGTTTTCTACCATTCCATGATGTTTTGTGCATTATTCTACAAAATTGCATCTCTGCTGCAAGTAAATGTTTTTTCTGTCTGCTCATAGTCCCATGTGCATTTAACAAAACAGGTGATATTTATAATAGGCATCTTTCTTCTTCTTCTTTGCGTTCACCGGCTGTAAACTTTAGGCGGAAAGCTCTGGACTTTAGTCTTGTTTGTCTTTAGTCCAAAACTTGAGTTTTGCATGAACATCCGTTTTACACCTCTGGCTTATTTATATGCAGACTGTTGGTTCCTCGCCTCTCAGGTAGATGCACTCTGACTTCTAAGGAAATACCCCTAATTAGTCAGCTTGTACGACATGCTTGTTAACAGGGCACTGAGTCTGTTATTCCCCCCCCCCCCCCCCACACACACAATGGGCCCCGAGAACCCGCACAGGGGGTGTCTTAATTTAAAACTCAGGGAAGTAAAGCAGAAAGAAAAGGTTTTGGTTTCTTGTCATCTGAAACAATAGTTCTGCATTAAAAAAAAAATTTTTTTATTACTTTAGTGAATTCATCATGTAGTGCTAGCTAACCCCATATTTTCTATAGACCTACCACTCTGGTGTGCACTGTATCAAAATACAAAATGGCTTCAAATGAAAACCTTAAAAGTGTAATAGAAATCACAATACCCAAGCCATTATCTTGTAACCTGTCAGTATAGTTGTTAGAGGTGTCAAGCTTTCAGCAGTTAAGCACGAAACATCATGGTGCAAAGGAACGCGGTGACATCATAGTGACAAAATTGACCTCGGCTCCCAGTCGACCCAACTTTAAATAGGTACTGGGTATTGATCTGAGAAGTAAAGGTGGCCCATACTCTGTTAACCTCATTACCTACTGAGTACCACTTGGTCTGTAAGCATATGAATCTAGCATTGAATGCCCAATGTGCCACTGGTGTGTAGTAAGGACCCTTTTTAATTAATTATGGACATTTTATATGATCTCTTATTTATCCCAGTGTGAGTTCCGGGGCCCTATTATAGGGAAAACAAGAATAGACCCACTGCCTCCCCAAAAGCATGTCATAAGAGTAGACTAATTGGGAGCTTCCTTCGAAGACGGTGTGCATCTGCCTGAGAGGCAAGAAACCAACAGTCTGTATAAAAATGAGTCAGATCTGTCAAACGGATGCATACGCAACACTCAAGTTCTGGAATAGGAGCACTGCAGTCCAGAAGTGGACAAACAACCAGAACTTTCCACTGGAGTTTACAGCCGGTGAACCGACAGAAGAAGAAGAAGAAGATTTCGTATTCATTAATTTTTTAAACTCTTTTCCCTCAGGAGGAAGAAGAAATGGCTCTTCGTATTGCCAGAATGATCATTTCAGACGTCAACACAATGACCAAGACAGGGGAGACGATGCTAAGCAAACCAAACAGCTAACACATACCACTGCACATTGTTGCCCTCCAGTGTTATCTACCCTGCTTCAGCCCCTCAAAAGCTCAATTCCTGTTAAATTTTCCGTTTCATGAAAGCTATCGATGGGAAATAATATTCCATCTTTTACTGTTGTAACATAAATTATGGTTCTGTTGTCAGTATATTCTCAGCGAGTGAGACTGGCTGAAAATGATAAAGAATTAAAATATTTATTGCATTCTGTTGTTGTGAATATTTGTAATTTAAAACTGGTACCTGTTTGCAGCATTCTGATTTCACTGAATACAGTGAAGTGATATATTGTTTCATGACCTAACACTGAGTCATAATTTTAAAAAATTGTTGTAAAGCCCCACCCTGGCTGTTGCCGGGGGCCCTAATATAACCCAACCTGTGGGTTGAACAGGGTTTCTGGGACCAGTCCCCAGGTGATCCTCATCTTTGTGTCACCAGGTGTTTACCGCTCTATATGATGTCCTGGTGGGGTTAAAGGTCATCATCATCATCATCGATATATTGTTTTTTTTTTGTCCTTACCCGCTCAGGACTGTAAGTTGTGGTGCTTTTCCAGTACCTCCCCCCAGGATGATGTCACAGGACAGTCCAATATTTTTAAGGGTGGTAAGAGCGGGTTTGATGCTTTTAACTTTCCCAAAACATTTAGAACTGGGCCTAACCCCAACCCAAATATGTCCTATGTGAAAGTGCAGCCTAGGTCCCACGACTGCATGCAGCCTATCTACCACCCCCTAAAATATTTGACTGTCTGTTTGAGGGGAGATATTGGGATAGAACCTAAGTTGCACCTGGCTAGTATAGTCATTATAGAGTGCCCTAATTATAGCTTCTTTGGAAGTTGAACAGGGTATGTGGAATCTGCATTACTGGTGTGCCGTCCAGACTGAGATCATTTTAATCTCCGGATGGCATGGTAAACATTTTGTTAGTATCCCAGCGGGGTCAAATTGATCCATCAAGTGATATTGTGCTTGATCTGTTCTTTCAGATTGCCTATAATTTTGTGTGTGCATCTGTAGTAGTTTTATTGGTTTATCTTTATACACACAACATACAGCTGGTTAGACGATTGTAACACCTGGCTCTTTTTCTGGAAATCTGGGTTTGAATCCCCGTTAAGGTGATTGAAAAATGTGTTTGTTGAAGGCAGAGGTGAAAATCTTGACCTGCGCGGTTCATGCTGACTTTAACTGCCATGTGGCCCTAATTGTTCAGGCACAAGACCCCCCGCTCCTTCTTCCTTTTTCCGTCCTTGTAATGCATTCTTAAGAATGGCCAGCTAACATTACGGAGGCCTGGAACTACAGTTGTTCCAGTAGATACAGCAACAGTGACAAACAACACACAGGACTCCGTGGTAAACAGGCCGGATCATAAGTCAAACTAACAGGCGTTTATTAGTCATTTCAGGCTGCATGTAATTTTCTTCTTCTTCGCATTCATTGACCGTAACAGCAGATAGTTCAAGTTGTTTGGTATCCTCTGAACTTTGGCCTTATTCAAGAAATTGTGTGTTGCGTACACATCCGTTTTAGAGATCTGGGTGTTCGTCCATCTGACTTTAGTCTTGTTCTGGAATCTGAGCGTTCTGTGCACATCTGTTTTACATATCTGACTGTTGGTTTCTTACCTCTCAGGCAGGTGCACTCCGACTTCAAAAGAAACATCTCTGATTAATCAGCACTTGCGACATGCTTTTTAGGCTGCAGTGGGTCATTTCCTTGTTGTCCCTACAATGTACTTCCAGAACCCATACAGGGAGCTGCTATAATGATTAGAGAGCATTCAGCTTAGTCACGACCAGCTCAAGCTGACAAGCCATGCTGCTGATGTCACCGGGTCAGGCTAGCAATGCGTTAATGCAGTGGTTCTTAAACAAGAAATATACTATTTTCGACAGTGGCGAGGGATGACAACTTACATTTTAACTTTTAAGTGTCTAGATGTCTTCTTTAAAAATTTCAAAATTGTTAGCCGAATTTTGTTGATTATTTCCGTTGATCCCTGGCATACGTTTACGACACCCTAGGGTACCTGTGCACCCAGTTTAAGAACCGCTGCTTCAACACATCGTTAGCCCAACCCGGTGACGTCAGCAGCACAGACCTTGGCTCAGTATCAAACAGCACTATATGTTTACTCACAGGACAGAAAGTCCAACACACAATCAGACTTTGCAGGCACTCACTGGCAGACTCAAGTTTGAATTAAAACATTCAGTCTCCATCAACAATCATCATCCTGTATCCACATCAAAGCACTTACAACATGGCCAGGCATTTTTCGCTGCTGCAGGCTGCTTGGGTTGACTCAGTTCTGTCACTCACACACATCCATTCCTCACATCAATTCCGTTTGTCACCTGAAGACGGTATCAATCATAGAGTATGCACTCCGTAGCTCCGGCGATGTTTTTTTTCTTCGCTTGCTGCTGAAGGTGGGGACGGAGTGCTTACTGGAGTATCCAGAGTGCTGTGATGTTGATTCTTAATTCAACATTCAAGACTCTTTTGTTTCATCCAAGCACAACACATATAATAATCCTGGAATGGATGACACCATTCGGAAGGCTGCCTCTCAAGACGGAAATGCATGGCGTGCAACTCTACACAAGGGCCTGGTTACATGTGAAGCAAACAGAACAGCAAGACTGATTAAGAAAAGGCTGGACAGAAAGGCAACTGCAGGAGATCCCCTCCCTGGCACAACGCTCATTCCCTGTCCTCACTGTCCAAGAACTTTTCGGGCCCGCATCGGCAGGAAAAAGAGTGGTCATCATTATCTTGATGGACAACACACACACACACACACATTGATGTCACTTTTCTTCACTTTGCTGTGTGAACAGTGTTTCACTGTAGTGTGACTGACCCCAGTCCTGGACAGTCTGTGACAGAAGTCACCCAGTTTTGAAACTGCCTACTTAACTCATACACTTGCTGGTCTGACAGGCGTGTATCACTAACGGGCAGTGATTTCCAGACTGTGCGCTGTGGCGCCCCAGGTAGACATGACCTCTTCAGAAGGGGCGCAAAATATTAAAAAGTACACCAGTTTTATTTTTATTTATTTTTTTTAATCTCTTACATACGAATAGTCACTTTTACTTAGGCTAGGGCGCCGTGGACAAATTTTAATTGTAAAAAGGTGCCCTGACTAAGACAAGTTTAGGAAACACTGACTAATGGGCCTTCATTTGGCGATTCATTTTTATAGGTTCTGCCTCTTCTCTGGTTTAAAAAAAAAAGAAAGAAAAAGAGAACAGTATGCTGCTTCTCTTTGGTGAATGTGGGGTGGATCTTGAAGCTGTCATTATGACATCACCCTGTCCATCTGCACTGTGATGTCACATGCTTAACACTCCTGGCATCCCTAACAACAGTATTGGTAGGTTATAAGACAGGAGCATGGTTATTGTAATTTCTGTCACGTGTTTAAGATTTTCATGTGAAGCCCCTTTGTGTGTCCTTTTTGCCTTTTGTGTCAGTGTGGAGTGTTGGCCAAATCTCCTGGTCACTGGCAGCTCAGATCAACGATACAGATCTGCATCCAATTGAATGGAAGCTTGCTTTCTGTCATCTTGTTGTTTGTTTGTCGTGTAAATCTCTATTACTTGTTTCGTTAAGTAGACCACTGTGCTGTTTGTTGTACAATCTTGTACCTTTTGTCATATTTGTTACATAACCCTGTTATTTTGTTTATCACATAAAGTAACATGATCCTTACTTATTTTATAAATCTCTAAATGCGGATGTACAGAAGAAAAGGTTGTATTTCATGAAAACAAAAACAATCAAACATTGGGTTCTGGAAAAGTGAATTACTGAAAGAAATTTAAAATGAGAGAGAGAGAGAGAAAGAGAGAGAGAGAGAGAGACAATTGAAATACTTTCGCCACATTAAAAAAAATAAAAACACTTTTTAAAAACCATACTGGAGGGAAAGGTCGAGGGCAAGAGGGGAGGTATACAAAGATACAAGTAGAAGGAAAACATCAAGAGATTAACAAATGGCAGTCTGAGAGAGAGTAGAACCAAGAGAAGAGACAGGGTTGGGGATCCATTGCAGCCAACCTTCACTGTGAAGAAGGCACCTGATTGATTTGTTGATTGAAACTTTGTTGCTTTTTGTTTTATATCAATATCCGTTACATGTTTGCTAATAAATTCAGATGTGATCTTGTTTGTTCTTTAACTTCCCCATTGCTTGTTTGGTATGTAAGCAACTATTACATGCTAGTTATCAGTACACTGATGTTTAAACAATAGTAAAATTATTATTTATTTATTTATTTCTAAAAATTGATTGATGCATTTTCCCCGTTTTGGTTCTGGGGCCCTATTTTAGGGAAGACAAGTAGAGACTGACTGCCTCCCCAACAAGTGTGCCATAAGAGTTGACCAGTTGGGGGCATCCTTTGAAATCAGAGTATGTCTGCCTGAGAGGCAAGAAACCAAGAGTCTGCACACAGATAAGCCAGATCTGTTTCTTTTTTTATTTTTTTTTATTTTTCATACCTGAAGAGTGTTACAGGTCATCAAAGAACAACAAATGAAGTGGTTTGGACACCTAACAAGAATGCCCTGGTACTATCTGCCACAGCCAGCCACACTAAAACGTTACAACGGGTATAGAGCGAGTGGAAGACCTAGGAAAATATGGAATGATGGCATTAGGAACAGCCTTACAGAAATGAACATCAGTCTTAATAGTGTTTTTGACAGAGTTCATCAACGAATGTTACATCTCACCCCGACACCTCGATGAGGTACAAGGTGGAAGAGAAGAAGAAGATACCTGACGAGTTTTGCATTTGTTAATTGTTATCTGATAATCCAAAAATAAACTATTTTACAAGTCTGTTGATCGAATTTACCACTGTGACTACAGCAGTCTTGTATTATAATATCTGTTTTTACTGTCTTCTTTTATTGAGCTTCTGTGTCAGCATTCCATTACAGTTTTCTTTCTCCCCGTGTGGG